TCCAAAGTTTCATATAAAAACTCCAAATCTTTAATCTCTCTTAACCCCTCCATTCTTTGATTTTTACTGTAACCCAAGCTTTCCTTATGTTTATCCATCAACTAAAGATCAAAACCAAGCTTAAAATTCAAATAATAATCAACTAATAAAACTCTCACCTTTGCCTTGCTCTCCCACGCATGAAGAAGAAGAAAGGAGAAGAGAACTCTGGATGTTTCTCCCATTTCCCACGTGTATATAATTCCTTAAATGATCAAATGACCATTTTACCCTTTATTTCCTTTAACAATTACAAAATAACCTTCATCATATGTATCCAATAATCATAGAACTATTTCATTCTTCTATTTTAGTCATCAAATTATGAAACTTTACAATTTGGTCACTAACCCATAATTTGGGATGTTACATTAAATTCGACCAACTTAGGGTTTTATGGAGATTGGTTGTTTGAATTGAAATTGATATGGAATTGATTGTAGTTAATTGGAAATGATATTTGGAAGTTGAATTCATGCTTGAATCAAGTTTGAAAATTATCCTAAAGTGACCCTTCATATTCGGCCATGGTGAATAAATTAGGGGAAAAGATGTAAAAATTTCCTTGAGGCTAGATGTTACGAATGGATTAGGAAAGATGGGATTGAGTTGCAATTATGCAAAGGTGAATGTATTGAATTGAATATATTTGTACAATGCTGGAATGTTTGGGATTGATTTGAATAAAGTAAAAATGATGAAGGATCAAGAAGTAAGTTGTAAGAATTGATAAAGAAATTAAGGATGCAAAATAATGAAAATAGTTTAGATTTTTTAATCTAGCAGTAAGTTTTAAAAATTACCATAAATTCTATAAAAATGATTAGCAGGTGATTTTTATATTGTTGTGTGTATATAAGTATAATTTTGTTTAAAATAATCAGGGATTTGATTGATTTTGGGTATGAACTGTCCAATGCATTTTTATATGATATTTTGATATATTTGTGTTTATGAAATTTGACATGTGAATGATATATGGATTTAAATACAAGGCTCATTGTATGTGCATTGAGAGTAAATGGTACAATTGGCATGCCAAGAGTTCGAGTGATTATTGATTGATCTTACATGGTACATTTGTGTACATTCTATGCGGCACTTTATGTGCAATTCTACGTGGTACTTTATGTGCATTTCTACGTGCACTTTATGTGCATTTCTCGTGCACTTTATGTGCAATTCTACGTAACACTATTTGTGCATTCAGGAAATTCATGATGTTGATCATTATGATATTTTTTATTTATATAGTGACTTTGTGTTCTACAACACATGTATATTCTACGTGGCACTTTAGGTACATATTATCTACGCGACAGTTTCGACTGCATATTTGCGCACACTCATATATGACTCACATATCATACATTCTCATTCATCATACATTGGGATGTGAATTGAAATGAAAGTGAAACGTACATATTTGATACATTTTATTGAAAGTAAAGTTTTATTTGATGATATTCACGCGTAGGTAGTAGAAAGCATAAGGAGTAAGAAGTCAGGTTCAACATCAACTTTTTTTAGGAATCAGATCTGCTCCATATTCAGTATGACATCTTTTGAATATTGATAAACTAGTTGGCATGTATATCATATGGTTATGATACTTAAAACTCGAAATGTTTTTATTTAGTTTTAAATGAATGACACTGCTTAATACTACTTATGAATGACAATTTATTGTCTAGCATTTTAATGGTAATGAATGTCGATATTATCGTTAATTTTTAAATATTTTATCATTCTCTATATAGTTAATTTATATTAAAAAGAAACAAAATTTTACTAGTTTTTGGAAAAAGGAATATTTTGCAAATTCTATGTAACATCCTAGACTCTTATGTGGGAACGTATACGGGAATAGGGTGTTACATTAGGTGCTCGGACTGTAACGGTCTTTAAATAAAAATCATTATCCATTCATTTGCTGACACGTGGCCATGATTTGAATTTGACTGAAGTATAAAATAAGTGTCCAAACTATACCCTTTTTTTGAATGTGCATATAATATTTTTCGCCCTATCCAGGTACCTAAGTTATAAACGTTACCACTTTAGGTGCCTGACGATACAAACGTTGCCACTTTAAGTGCCTCGGTGTTAACAGTTGTTAAAAATCCCGTTAAATGACATGTGTCACAAAACCTACAATTTTGAAATATTTTATTTAAAAAAATAAAGATATTATTAAAAAAATGTGTTTCCCCTCCCCTCCCCTGCCCTCCCTCCCCTCTCCTTTCGTCATTTTTAAATTTCATGGCCAAATGGCTAAAATTCAAACAGTTGGTAAATCAAATGGCTAAGGGATGGTTTTCACAGTCAATTAAACAATCGATTACCATGATCAATCAAATGAGTTTAAGGGATTGAGTATTTGGGGTTTTAGGGATTGAAATTTAAGGATTTGGGAATTTTAGGTTTTGAGATGATATTAAGAGTTGTAATCGGTTAGTGGATGATCGATGACGTATGGGTGTTTCACCGCTGGCGAATGGGTGGTTGAAGATGACCTGCGGTTGGAGTAAATGAAACTAGAATAAGAGATTTTAAGAGTTTAGGTTTTTTTTGGTATTTTAGAAGAAAAAAATTGGGGTTTTTCGCAAATAAAATATTTTTAAGTTTGTTAAATACAAAATTAAAATTATCAGATTGTGACACGTGTCATTTAATGAAGGTTTTTAACGACCGTTAACACCAAGACACCTAAAGTGGTAACATCTACAACTTTGGCACCTAGATGAGTCGAAAAATACTATAGGCACCTATTCAAAAAAAATGTATAATTTTGACACTTATTTTATACTAAAGCCAAATTCAAATTATGGTCACGTGTCAACAAATGAATGAATAACGGTTTTCATTTAATGAACGTTACGACCGAACACCTAAAATTATATCATTGATAATTTTAGGTACCTAAATGAACAAAAATATACTTTAAACATCTATTCGTAAAAATAAATATAATTTATGCATTTATTTTATACTTAAGCCCAATTATTAAGACACTGAGTCAAGTCCTTCTTTCAATGCTCCAAGTGAAAGATTTATAATAAAATAAACATTTTGGCTGCACAAAATCCAATCCCAACTATGGGTTCCATTTAAATAATAACAATTCCAAGTGTAAATAATGGAGGATTGAAATCTTCCAAAAGAGAAGCACATAATCACCATTTTCAAGTTGAAAAAATGAGGTCAAAACAAAGAAAAGCACCATCTGACAAGCACTAATAAAATAAAACGGTTCCTCATTCCCCAACCATTGTCGTGGAAACAGGAACCATTGTGTTCAACAAAGATTGGACCAGCATTTTCTCCGTGCAAATAAATTCTATAGCTTCTCAATACCATGAAAATATTAAGAAGCAGAAGGAAAAAATGTTTAATATAAAAAAAATAGCACTAAACGTAGAATTAGATAATTATTTTAAATGTTTATTAATGGAGTATTTAAGTTAGGAGAGTCTTCTTTATCTATATAATATTTATTTGTATTCTTTCCGTATTTTCAACATTACATGTTAATCCACGATTTTTATCAATGAAAGAATGTTTGTCTCATAATAGAATATTGAGAACAAAAAAAATAAAAATAATTATTGAACCATATGTATATAACTAAATAATTTAAATAATTATAAATATAACTATCCAAATCTAAAATCTCTAAAAATAATAATAATAATACTACCTCATTTTACTTCTGAAAACTACTTAATGAATTTGCATTATGTATGTTTTTGTCATTATAAAAAGAATAATTATAATCATATTTTCCACTTGTCGAAAGAAGTAGTCATTTGTTTAAACAAGGTGATGATGGGCAACAACTGTCAGCATCTACAAAAGGTTGACTTTGGGAGCTCTGTTATGCATTAATATTACCATCGATATTTGCAGAGTTCTTGGATTTTACTTGGACCATTATCATCATGGCAGACACTAACTATACACTCTTCAAAAGTCTCCCTCGTTCCTTCACTCTCATCATAATACCCCAAGCATGGAGTCATGATTGTAGTCTTTAATAGCATCCCAAGCCTTTATCCCTATAATATATAGGATAGAGTACATAAATAATGTCTCACTGTAAGTATTATTTTATCAAGTATTAAAATCATAAGATATTTTTTTTATTATAGAGTGTTAATTATTAAAAATTATAAAGTAGTCATTTAATTATTCATTATGTTATAAATTTATTTTTTTTCGTTAAAAAATTAATGGTCATTTGAATTAGATATTACCATGATGTTAACATAATGAATAATATGAATAATTTTGTAACTTTTAATAGTCGAAGACTCAACAAAGCAACACTCTTTATTTAGAGGACAATTTTATAACTTTTAATAGTTGAAGGACTTAATAAAATAACATCATAGTCGATAGATCATTTGTATTTTTTACTGTAATATATATTTATCTTGGATAAATAAAATTCAACTCGAGAAAGCTAATTTTTTCTAATTTAATTCAATAATTAAAAACTCAATTCAAATGAATTTTACTCGTTTCAAAAAATTATTGAAGTTCAATTCAAGTTATAAAATAGAATTTTAATATCTTAAAATTTTTAATAATTAGTAGATTTATTTTTAAGTTTGAATCAAGACCTTTAATTTTATATGGTATATGTATATAGCATACAAAAAAAATATATATGTATATTGCGTGTGATTATCAAAAATCATTTTAATTAAAATCAAATAGTATAATAACATTATAGATATTTATAATTAAATTTAAATAAAAATTTAAATAACTGATCAACTCAACTAGATTCAAAAATATTTTCAAATAAAATTTAAATTCTAAAATAAAATTCGTAAACTTAATTATTTAACTTAACTCAATTAAATGCTTACACCTAATTGTAGTATTCTAAGAGCATCATCTTTAAGCTTTTAGCCCTATAATATATATTTATCCAAAGTCTCCACCATCGCCATTAAACGCTCTCTAGCTGAGCATAGTGTTTCTAAGGCTGAAATTAAAACATGAAGAGAAGATTTCTTTTTACTGTTTTTCTTCTGTTCTCTTTTACCGTCCTCATTTCCTCTTCCCATATATCGGCTCGTTTCTCGGGAAACAAACAACGTAACGGTTTCTTCTTAGTTCTTCTATTCCCCTTCCTTCTTTACTAATCATGACTCAAAGTTTTAGCATCTTCTGCAGGAGAAGAAGAGGTAGAGCTTAGTCAAATTACAGATATGGAGGGCACTGAACTAATGAATGTAAGCTCAAACTGCATCTTTTTTTTCATCAACTTGATGTGCAATTGATTTTTCTTTTATATGTTTTCTAATTCTTTGCAGCAGCTAATGGGGATGGAAGCTTGTGATGAAGGAGACGATGGATGCTTGAAGAGAAGAATAATTGCAGAGGCTCACTTGGATTACATTTACACCCAGCATCATCAACCTTGAGATTTTTCCATTTAAACAACTTAATTCCAAGTAATCTTCCTTATAAATGTTTGATTTTTATTCTATTAAGTGCTTGTTATCGTTCATAGTATGAGTGGAATGGTTTGATTAATGTTGTTCAACGCTACAACTCGTTTGATTTATTGTATTTCCATAGTATTTGCAGACGCAAGACCTGCTTCTTTGTGTGTTCTTTTTTTTGGTTGGGATAGAAAGATTGGTAAACTAAGTCTCTAGTCATCCAACTATTTATATGGTTCTATTTTGGTCACTCAACTATTATTTTTTTTCAAGAGCATACACAACGTTTAGCAGTATTCAAACGATTAATTCGGTTAACGGACCGAACCAAACTACCCAAATTTTATTAACTGAATTTTCCCCCTTTAACCGTTAATTGTTAATTGAACTGAATTTTTTTTCAAAAAATTTAACCAAATCGAACTAAGTTCAATTAATTGATTGGTTAATCGAATTAATTGAATTAACATAAATTTATAAATAATATATAAATAATATATATTAAATATTTTTGGTTTATTCGGTTAATTTGGTCAGTTAATTTGGTTAAAATCGAAGTTTAACACCACTAAAGTTAAATAATATATATAATATGTTAAATATTTAATAATTTCATTTAATTTGGTTAATTAATTTATTTCGAACCAAATTAATTGAAACCAAAGTTTGAAAAGAAATCGTTAATCGTTAAACGATCAAACTTAAAATTAATCAATTGAAATTTTGATTTGATCGGTTAATTCGGTTTTAATTGAATTATGAACACCCTTAATACTGTTACATTTTGGTTACATATTGTTATAAACTAATTAATAGTGATGGTCACATGTTGTTATAAATAAATGGTTGTGTTGGCATGTCATCACAAGATAATATCACGTTATCAATAAAAAAATATCACGTCAATAGTTTTGTTAATTTTTTTACGACGATGACTAAAATAAAACTAAAATATAATAGTAAGCATGATTAAAAATAATTAAACGATTAAAACGAAATCACGTGAATAATTAAATGAATGAATACGTAATTTACCTTAGAAATATATAAGTTGAAGATATATGCTTTAAAATTATGGAAATTTTTGTAATGAATATTCAAATTTAAACTTGAATAAAATTATGAAACTTATTAAGTAGTATTGTTGATAGAAAAGAGTGTTATTTTTTCAGAGATCTCAGATTTAAATAATTACGTTTATAGAATATGTATGTTGTCGATGATAGAATATTCTAAATAGATACTAACTTTTAATCACTATCGACTATAAAAAAAGCTTAAACAAAACTTGTGATTTAAAAATATTACGCAATTAAATTATAGTTTTTTAAATACCACTTGAGTCTCTTAATATTTTTAAAATTTTTAAAATTTTGAATATTTTATATAAATTATAGAAAATATAATACTTAAAAATTTATAGAAAACTATAAAATTTTAAATTTTAAAATATTCCAGAATGATATATTTAAGACTTTACACTAATAAATTATTAGATCTAAAGTATCTTAATTTATGATTTTTAAATTTTACGTACGCTTCCACGGATTGAATAAAAAAATTGGAAGCTAATTGATTGGACTTTTTCAAGTCGAATTGTGATTTTAACAAAGGCATAAGGTTAAAAGAAATAAATGTTCGATTAAATAGTAATTTTGACTTTTTTTAAAAAAAAATGAATTTTGATCCCTTATTTTAAAAAAAGTGTTTTAATCTCTAACATTTAATTTTAGGACAAAAATATCTTTTATTAGATGTAACTCATCAGTTAACAAATTATTAACACTTTAAAATAAAATATTTTTGATCAAAATCTTTCAGAAAAAAGAATAAATATCAAACCATCAAACCATCTTAATAGTAAAAAAGAATATTAATTTTGTAAAGGTTTTAAGTTCGAACAATTACGTCTGCAAAATATATATGTGTTGTCAATAATTAAAAAATATTTTAACCATATATTACCTTATAATCATTTTAAATTATTAAAAGAAATTAGAGATTCATTTGATATGGTTACATTGAAAATAATTATGGTAAAGGAGTCTTAGACTCCATTCATTTTTAGTATAAATAAATTATGTTGAGGTCAATGTTTGTGTCTTAGCTTTATTTTTTTACAAATATTTATGGAGAGAACCTTTAATTTTTTTATTAAATAATATAAAAATAAAAAATATTTTTTCCAAATTTTAATGAAAAATTGAAACCTAAATTTAATATTTAAAAAATAAAAACTAAATCAAATCAAATTAAAAAAATTCACGTAGATGAGTATAAATTCAAGTGTTTCTTTAGTTTTTTAATAGTCTAAGATAATTATAATGTAACATCTGTTAAAAAAAATTCGACCATTTGTAACGTACATACACTCATAAATATAATTGATTTGAATCTTAAATTTCTAAAAAAAAAAAGTTATACTCGTCTTAACTAGTGAATTCACTTAAAAAATTGTTTGATCTAATGTTTATAGTCATTAAGATTTAATATCCCATCCATAGCACCAAGGGCAAGGGCAACAAACCCTTGTCATGTTAATAAGGTAGTGGCGTGACATGAGAGTATGGGCCCAAATCCTTATATCCCTTCCCATTCAAATGTCCCTAACAGAGGCATTTATGCACTAAAGTTTATATATCCCCTCCAATTCAAATGCCCCTAAAAGAGGAATATATGCCCTAAACTAAACATGAGTAGGGACCTTCAGAGGCCATAAGTATATGCCAGCCTTTTTCAGCTGCAGAACTTTCTTTTGCCAAAAATACATTCAACTTTGGTAAGGACCTTCAAAAGCTTTAACATTTACATTGAATAATGAATGATTTCAGCTAGGGATGGGCATGGGTCGGGTCATGTCGGGTCAGGTTTTGATCCATATGACCCGACTCAAAAATTATAAATCTTCAATCCGACTTCAAAAATGTACACCTTTCACTCATTTGAATCGATCCAATTTTTTGAGATAAAATCCAAACCCGACCAGAAATAATATATTTATTAAAAAATATTATTTTTATTCAATAAAAATAGAGATCTGATTAAAAGAAAATGATATATAGAGGAGTATTATTACAATTATCCTTAAATATATAAGATAAAATTATAATTTTTTGGGTCAGATCAGATCGAGTATTTTTCACCCTAAACCTGAAGCCTGATCCGACCCGACCCGAACATAACTTAAAAAAATTCTAGCATCTAGCATTCTCGATGCTCGAACCCGTATCTTCAAAAATACATCAATTCCTTTATCACGAAAATCATTTGGTTCGTGCTTTTTCCGTTCTTTAAATTTCCATCATGGAATACAAGTAGAATAAAATCTTATTAGCATTGTTGTGTTTTTCATTGGAAACAAATCACAAAATCTTCAAAAAAGAGTTGGATTCCAATTTGTATATAAAGAAAAGCAAGGCATTATTATAAAATCAGGCTTTAGATGCAAAAGGATATTGCTTTCTTCCCTTTAGGACCACCAATGTAAAAAGAAAACATTATAACAATTTATTAACTAAGCAATGGTTAGTAATTAATCATTTTTCCAACCAATCTAAATATATCTAATCAAAGATAAACCTCTTGGAAATGGAATTTTGTGGGTTCTAGTAAAATTATTTTTTTATGATATTATGATGAAATTATTTAAACTATTATGTAATATTTTCCTTCTAATAGCATATTAGGATGAGCAAAACCTAACTCATAAAATAATTTTTTTTGCCTAGACTTGACTTGAATTGATTTCGAATTATAATCCCATAAACTCGACTTAACTCGAAAAAAATTTAAATTTGAGTTAAGTTATAAAATAGAACTCGAATAACTCTAAATTTTTTAAGGTTGAGTTGGGTTCCTTAGCTATATATTGTATATCACATATGGAAAAAATATGAAGAAATATGTATGCATTGTATATGATTATAGAAAACTGTTTAAATTGGAATAAAATAGTACCATAATATTATAAATATTTACAATTAAATTTAAATAGAAACTCGAATAAATCAAACAATTCGACTTGACTCAACTCGACTCGAAAAAAATCCAGATCAAGTTTGAGTTATAAAATAAGACTAATCAACTCAAATAACTCAAAAATTTCTGACTCAATCGAACGCTCACCCCTATGTATGTTTACTTTTTTTGACATTTAAATATTTTTATTATGATTTACTTGTATACTCTTTGCAAAATTTTAGGATTTTTAATAGAGAAAATAACCTCAGTGACCAAGAATGCCTTATAATATACGATTTTAACCAACTTTTTTTGGATTTGCCAAAATGACCAACAAAATCGCAATGCGAAATAAAAATCGCAACGCGATCTCCAGAATCGCAAACCAGTTCCCAGAATCGCAATGCGATAGTACAAATTCGAATTGCGATTTTCCAGAATCGCAACGCGAATATGAAAACCGCAACGCGAATATATAAATCGCAACGCGATTCTGACTATCGCAACGAGTATCCGTAAAATCGCAACGCGTATCCGTAAATCACAACGACAATACGTAAAATCGCAACGCGTATCCGTAAATCGTAACGAGAATACATAAATCGCAACGCGTATCTGTAAATCGCAACGAGAATACGTAAATCGCAATGCGTATCCGTAAATCGCAATGACAATACGTAAAATCGCAATGCGAAATGAAAATCGCAACGAGTGAATAGCAATGCGAAAACGAAAATCGCAATGCGAAAACGAAAATCGCAACGAGAACATGCATTCTGTTTGCAGGAGCCAGGGGAGGAATCTCCACTCTTCAACCATAGATATATATATATTATGAGATTTTTATGTGTTTGATAATCACATGTATGGACAGAATTAGGATCAAATATTGAAAGAGAAAAATATTTATTAAGTATTTAAATCTAAAAGTTACGAGACAAAGATTTTATTTCATTAACATTTAAACTAACAAAGACCTAAAAATAATATTCTACCAAAAAAAATGGGGGTCACAGTCCCTCCAATCCAACAAGTTACTATATCCCCAATCACATGGATCATAACTATTTTGAGTCGAGTCAAATCAAGTATTTAAACTTCAAACAAAATTCTATCAATATTTGTTTATAGTGAAGT